AAAACTAGATACCATTGAAGCACCAGACAGTAAAGCTCACCGACACATTACATAACAATAGAAGCCCTTCAAAACATTTATAAAACTAGATACCATTGAAGCACCAGACAGTAAAGCTCACTGACACATTACATAACAATAGAAGCCCTTCAAAACATTTATAAAACTAGATACCATTGAAGCACCAGACAGTAAAGCTCACTGACACATTACATAACAATAGAAGCCCTTCAAAACATTTATAAAACTAGATACCACTGAAACACCAGACAGTAAACTGTCTGACACATTACATAACAATAGAAGCCCTTCAAAACATTTATAAAACTAGATACCATTGAAGCACCAGACAGTAAAGCTCACCGACACATTACATAACAATAGAAGCGTTAAAGAGATAGAAGATTGTGGGAAGTTGAGAAAATGCCCTACTTACGTTAAAGATATAGAGGACATTTGTCTGCCCTCGTCTCTTCTACTAAGAATAAGTATTAGTACTTTAAACTATGAAATGTGTTAATACATTACGATCTAAAGAACTGGGTGCTAGGAGAACCAGTTTAAACAGGAAAATCACAGCTACTTAAGTTTTAAGAATGAACTGTGAGAGTGGTACAGATAAAAAAATATATGGTGTTTTGAAATGTCTTTTACTCACTCAGTAATCCTATTATTTATATAGGAATTCCCAGAATATACAGCATTGATGCTACTCATTTATTCATATGAATTGTAAAAGTCGGACAAGCTGTTTGACACACTAAAAAATAGTTGCGAAGCCCAACGTATCATTCGATTTACCACTTATCATCGAGTTAAAATTGTTTGGGGGAATTGCACCTCTTTAGTAACCCCGGACAAAGGTCAGATCTAAAGAAAAAAGACTAGACTTCGTATAGTGGTGGAGTGTATATTATATGTATGATGTTTTGAAATGTCTTTTACTCGCACAGTAGCCCTGTATTTGTTTGAAATTTATGTAAATAACTCGGGGATGAGTAATAAATTGAATGATAGATTGGGCTTCACATTTATTTTTTTATCATTAATACTTTCACTTTTGTACGTAGGAAATAGAAGAATCTACTAAATTATCACCTGAGCTTATAGATGTTAGCTCTGTCACCTCAGAAGCCAATCTGTCCATTATGAGTGACGAATCTTCAATCAGTGAACTTAGTACAGACTCTTCGTTTTTTACCAAGGTAAGAGAAGCCCATCAAAAGACCTCTTTGTTGGTGATGTCAGTTGGTTTTACCAACTTACACATTAATGGGATCTAATTTAATAAATGTTTTGAAGGGCTTCTATTGTTATGTAATGTGTCGATGAGCCTTACTGTCTGGTGCTTCAATGGTATTTAGTTTTATAAATGTTTTGAAGGGCTTCTATTGTTATGTAATGTGTCAGACAGTTTACTGTCTGGTGTTTCAGTGGTATCTAGTTTTATAAATGTTTTGAAGGGCTTCTATTGTTATGTAATGTGTCGGTGAGCTTTACTGTCTGGTGCTTCAATGGTATCTAGTTTTATAAATGTTTTGAAGGGCTTCTATTGTTATGTAATGTGTCAGTGAGCTTTACTGTCTGTTGCGTCAGTGGTATCTAGTTTTATAAATATTATAAAGGGCTTCTATTGTTATGTAATGTGTCGGTGAGCTTTACTGTCTGTTGCGTCAGTGGTATCTAGTTTTATAAATGTTTTGAAGGGCTTCTATTGTTATGTAATGTGTCAGTGAGCTTTACTGTCTGTTGCGTCAGTGGTATCTAGTTTTATAAATATTATAAAGGGTATAGAAGATTGTAGTTAGTTGAGATAATGCCCTACTTATGTTAAAGAGATAGAAGATTGTAGTTAGTTGAGATAATGCCCTACTTATGTTAAAGAGATAGAAGATTGTAGGTAGTTGAGATAATGCCCTACTTACGTTAAAGATATAGAAGATTGTAGTTAGTTGAGATAATGCCCTACTTACATTAAAGAGATAGAAGATTGTAGGTAGTTGAGATAATGCCCTACTTATGTTAAAGAGATACAGGATTGTAGGAAGTTGAGATAATGCCCTACTTACGTTAAAGAGATAGAAGATTGTAGTTAGTTGAGATAATGCCCTACTTATGTTAAAGAGATACAGGATTGTAGTTAGTTGAGATAATGCCCTACTTAACTTATGTTAAAGAGATAGAAGATTGTAGTTAGTTGAGATAATGCCCTACTTATGTTAAAGAGTTAAAGAGATAGAAGATTGTAGTTAGTTGAGATAATGCCCTTGTATGTCAGTAAGTTTGGTATCAAATTGTAGATTATAATTCAAATTTTATTATTATACATTAGTTAATTTCTTAATTTTAAAGTAAGTATAAAAAAAAATACAGTAACATGAGTGCATGTGTCATTGTAACTTCTGCGGTACTATTGAAAGTTAGAAACAGCTGAAAGATAATGTTTTATAGCACTTTGCAGTGGGTTGGGTGTTGCCTAGTGGTTAGTTTGTGCATTTAAGGGCTAGAGTTCCCCATCCTATTACCATAAAATAGTAATACTCCATTTGGGGTCTTCCGGAACCGTATCGGAATGATGGCCAAGTTTAACTATTTAATCAGAGTGGTGCAAATATCCAAAACAAACTAACATATTGGTAACCAAGAGTCACATTTATGAACCGTGAAGCACACGTTACCACCTTCAGGTAACTATGCTTTTCATAATTCTTTTAGGCAATTGTTACTGCCTTCAAGGAAGATAAGCAGTTCTCAGATTATGAGGTAAACATCCCTAGGAAGGGATGGGAGTGACACCCAAGTTGACAATATTATCTTGTCCTTAACTACTGTGACACATTAGTCCTAAGGTGTTGGGTGTTTTTTTGGCACATTCTCACAAATTGTAAACTATAAAAAGATACAGTTGTTTTGTTGTTGTTTTATTAGTTCAGGGAAGTTCATTATGACAGTTCGAGAACCTCTGTGTTAGAGAATATTTATAATCAAGGTTAGTTATGGTAAATGTATGTTGATGCTATAGTCACGTAATTGAGGTGAGTGCCGAGTTGTTTATAGTCACCAATTTCGTTTGGTTAACTCTGTGTTATGGATGATATAAAGGCTTGGAATAATTAACATTCACAACTTAATGGCAGAAAAAATTGCATTGTTGCTTCAGGAACTATCCACTGTGGTGCGAAACGCTGTTGTTAAAGAAGAAGAAACTTTGGAAAGTCATCGACAACAGTATGAAAAGCAGGTGAACTCTCACAGACACCAACTGGCCAATATAGAAGGTTTAAATATGGACTTTGTCCAGTCTGTTACCCAGGAACTTCGCTTGCGGGACCAGGACATAGATAAGTTTCTAAACGAAGATATGTTGAAGGATGTACCCACAGGTATA